CGATCGTCGTTGGTCCCGTCGGCAGCGGCAAGTCGAGCCTCATGAGCGCGATTCTTGGCGAGATCCACCAAATGAGTGGCCAGCGCTCTGTCTGTGGCCGCCTCTCGTACGTCAACCAGGAGGCTTGGATCCAACACTCGACGCTCAAGAACAACATTCTCTTCCACAACGCCTTTGACGCCGACTACTATGACGCCGTCCTCTCTGCGTGCCAGCTCGGACCCGACCTCGCCATGCTGCCGAACGGCGACGCGACCGAGATTGGCGAGCGCGGCATCAACTTGAGCGGCGGTCAAAAGGCGCGCGTGAGCTTGGCGCGGGGCGTGTACCATCGCGATGCCGACATCTACCTCCTCGACGATCCGCTGAGCGCGCTCGATGTGCATGTGGCCACGGCGGTGTTTCACGACTGCATTCGCGGCCTTCTTCGAAGCAAGTCGACCGTGCTGGTGCTCAACAGTCACTACCACTTTCTTCCGCTCGCGGACCGAATCTTGGTCCTCGACGACGGCGCAATCGTCGGTGACGGCACATACGAGTCGCTCAAGTCGACGCACGCGCATTTGATGACCTTTGCCGCGTCGAATGACACCGATACGCCGCTAGATGTAGATCAAGGAATCAAGTCGGTGCTCACGCCCTCCCAAGAAGGCGACTCCAAGCGGCCTTGTTGAGAAGGAAGACCGCGCCAAAGGTGCCGTCTCGGCCGCAACGTACAAGACGTACTTTGGCGCCAGCGGCTACAACGGGTTCGTCGAATTCTGGCGTTGCCATCTATTCTACTGCGATCTCAAACTCACTTAAGTGCCTTGGCTAGACTTGTCGTGGCGGCGTCGATTGCCACGTTCTTTACGGTCTCACAGACGTCGCTGACAATGACCGACTGGTTCATGAGCTACTGGGCCAACCATACGGAGATGAGAGCTTCCATCTCGTCCGGGTACATGTACCTCGGGTGCGCGCTCCTCTCGGTGCTCTTGGTCTACGGCCGGTCGCTACACGTTTTGCTCGTCGGGATTCAGTGCTCGCAGTCGCTGCATGCGATGCTCCTCCGCAAGATCTTGCGTGCGCCCGTCACCACCTTTTTTGACGTCACGCCCATTGGTCGCATTCTCAACCGATTCTCGAGCGACTTGGACCAAATCGACTCGCAGTTGCCGTACTTTGGTCTTCTCGTGCTCCAATTCCTCTTTCAGATCCTCGTCATCCTCATCGTGTGCGCTCTCTCGACGCCGTACATTCTCATTGCGTACGTCCCGATCTTCTTGCTCTTCTTCAAGCTGCAGCAGTACTACAACAAGTCGTCAAGCGAGCTCAAGCGGCTCGAGAGCATCAGTCGGTCGCCGGTCGTCACACTCGTTGCAGAGGCGCTCAGCGGTCCCTCGACGATTCGAGCATTTGGCAAAACCGACCTCTTCCTCACCAAGCAACGTGACGCGATCGACCACTACATGGGTCTCTCGTTTCTCTACAACTGTTCGGCGCGCTGGTTCCACATGCGCCTCGATTGGCTCAGCGCTGGTATCCTTGCAGGCGTTGCCTTCATCTGCGTTGCGACCAAAGCGTCGATCGGGCTCGCCGCCGCGGGCTTGACGCTCACGTACGCGTCGCAGCTCTCGGGCTTCTTGTCCAAGCTCTCGAAAATGTATTCGACCGTGCAAAATCTCATGACGTCGGTCGAGCGGCTCAGTCACTACGAGTCGCTCCCAAGCGAAGACGACAACACGGTGACGCTCCTCGGTGCTGTTGACGCGTCATGGCCCAAAACGGGCATTCTTTCGTTTGCAAACGTCTCGATGCGGTACCGCGACCACCTCGACCTCGTCCTCCAAGATGTGTCGTTCACGGTACCCGATGGCACCAAGGTGGGTATCGTCGGCCGCACCGGCGGTGGCAAGAGCTCGCTCGTGGCGTCGCTCTTCCGCATGGTGTCGCTAACATCGGGCTCCGTTGTCCTTGACGGCGTCGATCTTGGTACTGTGCCAGTGACGACGCTCCGGTCGCGGCTGACGATCATCCCGCAAGACCCGGTGCTCTTCTCGGGCTCCATCCGCTTCAACTTGGATCCGTCGCGTGCTTTGAGCGACGACGAGCTCTGGCGCGTGCTCAAGCAAGTCCACTTGGCCGACGCGATTGGCTCGCTGGACGATGAGGTCGCCGAGCGCGGCAGCAACTTTTCTGTTGGCCAGCGCCAGCTGCTCTGCATCGCCCGCGCTTTGCTCCGGCAGAGCAAGGTCGTCGTCCTCGACGAAGCCACCGCGAACATTGACCTCGAGTCCGACAAGCGCATCCAAGCGACGATCAAGGAGTGTTTTGTGGACGTGACGATGCTCATCATTGCGTATCGGCTCCACACGATCGTCGACGCCGATCGGATTCTGGTGCTGGACGCTGGCCGCGGCATCGAGTACGACACACCGACGGCATTGCTGGCAACGCCGGATGGTGCGTTTGCAAAGTTGGCCGCGCAGGCGCAGTTGCAGGTCGAGTTAATTGATGCGTCGATGTTTTAGCCAATTTGTACTATGTAGAATGTTATGAAGAATTGGGTTTCTGTTTACCCTATAGTACCGAAGATATGGACCAGCAGGTTCAATTGTAATACAACTTCAAAGTTCGGGCTCAGGTCCAGCCTACACCGAAGCGAGCGACGTCGAAGCTTCGTTCTGCCAAAGCAACGCTCTCCGAAAGCAACGAGACGCAACAGAATATGCAATACCCATCGTGCCCTCTGCAAGTCATCTCACCACAACCTCTGAGCTAATCATGAGCGCTCGCTCCGACCTGACGATGAATCAAACCTGCAGAGATCCATCGGACGATGCTGGACATTATTGATCGGCACACCTTCTAACCCACTTTGGTGCCCGACCATACCAGTTCACCAAGGTCCTGGCGGTGACGACCCCTTTGCTCTGCGCACGGCAAGCTTGCCGTTGTGAAAGTACAGTGTGTCGAAAGATACCTAGGTGTTTGTATACGACAGTGCTCATCGATTTGCCCTTGTGATGTGCTTTGGCTACTTTCTCTTGGCACGATAGCCAACCATTTGGTCTCGACGCGCAACTATGTGTACGATGAATCGAGGCTGCGAACTGCGCTCGCACGTACCGTGGCACTGCAAGTGTGGTGCCCATCTCCGCCTCGCGCGTGATAACTCTTCCCCGTGAGGCGATGATCCGCGTGCGTGATGCCCAGACCACCAGCTGGTCGGCCGAGGTTCCGGGCTGTCCCTGGCCGGTCTATAGTCGCGCGGACCAGATTGACTCTAACGTTGCCCCGATCTCCAGTGACGGCCCAAGCAATGAGTCACAAAGGCCGACACCGTGCTTCGTAGCTGGTTCAACCAGTGCATCGTAGATAGCAGGGACACCAAGACTCGTGTAGGAAAGTAAATCAATATCATCAATTTGCCGACGACCACTCCCGTGTCTTTGTGTTTTCTGCGCTTGTCCACCTCGGTACGACACAAGTACCCTGTCAAATGATAAAATCATCAAGTACCCACATGAGCTACAACCACGCCCAAGCAACTAGAAATGCCGGTCTATTCTAGGCCAATGGCATCGATTTGACAGGGAGTCGCACCTCTGCTGCACGGGATAATGAAGTTGGCCTCTATTCGTTGCGCAGACTGGTTGACGAACTTCGTCTGGACTGGCGAAGACTCAATCGAGCACGATCCACGGCGCGGCTACTGGTGCTGTCCTGGAAATCGGACGAGATGGGTTTGCTTGGTGTCGGCCCCAGCTGCATTGATTGTGGTGGGATTCAAAATTTACAATCTCGTGCATCCTTGCGAACGAGCGACAGTCGCATGGTCGTCAACACAGTGCAAGAAAATGATCAAGTGCATCGAAACGATCGGTGCATCGCTTCCAACTCATTTTGCAATTGCCTTTCAAGCCACCAGCATGACCGAAAGCAGCGTGGCGATGAGCTACGAAGCGCTCAACTGCTACCACCTGCTCCAGACCGTGCCTCGCCGCGACGACGGCTCCGAGGTCTTCCAGCCCACGCTCCAGGAAACCGAGCTCTTCCGCCTCCTCCGCGCACTCGGCGTCGTCGACGCCAACGCCGCGTCGCCCGACGGCCAGCTCGGTCACTTCATCAACGCGTGTCTCAACGGTGTCGACGACAAGCGGACGCGTGGCGCCGACGCCGTCGATGCGGGCCGCAACACCGGCAAGGTCAAGCCGGCGAGCAGCGACGTCGTTTCGGACGCCGACGCGGGCCTCACCACCGTGGCGGAACTGAAGAAGGACCCGAACGTTGACGCTGACCCCAGCTCCAACGATGCCGAGTTCAACCGCGGCATTGACGTGGTTGCGTGCTACGGCAAGCAGGCGGCGGTCGAAGTGGACCTGCGCGCGCAAGGCTGGTGGCCGACGCACCTCAAGACGTACTTGGACGCAAGCCACGAAGGGGTGTATGCGATTCTGCTCCCCGAAACGAGCGACCGGCCCAAGCTCGTGCTCTTTACGTGGCTTCTCGACGCTTCGTTTTCGCCAAAGTACCTGCGCGAGCGCGCAACTTACGCGCTGCGGTTCCTTACGACGCTCACGCCGACCGTCCGCGTCTGCCTTGGAAACGACGACTGGAACGCACTGGAGCTCGCAGCAGCCGAAACGCGCGCCCAGTCGGCCCAGAAGAAGACTGCCATCGAGTTGTGCATCACGGAGGCCAAGGTCCAAGACGAAAGTGTCACGTGCGAGGTCGCATCGACGCCAACCAAGGCGACGCCAGGTGCAATGCTCGTGGCGGCGACGGGTGTCGCGGGAGTCACGATGCGCGTCTCGCAAATCGACGACGTTCTTCTAACGTCCGAGTCGATCTCGATCGCGTCACCCGCCGCCTTTGCAACGTGGCTATTGGAGGCCGCGAAGACGCACTATCTCCAGATACAAGTGCTGCTCCCGCACAAGTGCAAGCGCGCGGTGCTCGATGCGATGAACTTGCTGCCGACGGCAAAACTCTCGAGCACGAAGGAGAGCCTCGAGGCCGATCTGCGCGTCCAAGCCAAGGCAGATGCAGCCGCGCAGCTTGCAGCGATCGAGATGAACGTCATCGGAGCGGGGGCCAAACGCTTCTTCTTGACAGATGGCATGGCGGCCGCGGACGAGACGGACGCGCACAAGGCCCTGCAGAAGCAGAAAGAGGTGCTGCAGACCGCGCTCTCGCCCGTGATCAAGCTCCTCCCCACGTTTGATCCAGACGTTGCCGCCATTGTCAACGCCGAGTACGCGCGCCTTCTCGTCCAAGATCCGGGCTTTCTTGCAGCAGCAGAGGATTTGCCATCGTTGGTGCCCCGCTGGTGGCGCTCGGGCCCATCCGCCAATCTCAAGTGTCCGCTTCTCAAGAAGCACAAGCCCGAGATGGAGTTGATCTTGCCGCGCATCCAAGATATCCTCCGCGACCGCTACGACGCGTGGTGTCAAGAAGTGGTCGCGTTCCTCCAGAGCGAGCTGGTCGTCGACATTACGACAAACCAGTGCTTTAACGCGCTGGCCGCCAAGACAAATTTGAAGAGCAAGTTGAGCCGTGAGAAGGAAGAAATCATTCACGAAGCGTTTGTCGCTGCGATGGCGACTGCAAACGCAAGACACTCATCATCAACCGCGCTCTGCATGTATCTCGATGACGTCAAGCACAACCACGTTCACTTTCGAAATGAGTACCTTGCGGGCGGCGCGACGCTGCTGACGCTGACGCCGGTCAACGACGCGCCACTTGGTCGCATCAAACTGCCGCGGGATGCAGTCGTGGTCGACGTCTCGTATGTGACCGACCCCCGCACCGTTGTCATCGTCGTCTTTATCTGTGACGACAAGACCCACGTGCAGTCGTTCCAGGCCAACGGGGCGCGGCCCATGATGCGCCTCATGGCCAAGGCCTTTCCGACGCTCGTCGAGCGCTGCGACTTTGACGCGTCGCATCGCCTCTTGGCGCTCCAGCACTCGGACACCAAGGTCGACATCTTTACGTTCAGCGAGTCGTTCAAGGTCCTTGACCGGGCGCATCAGTTCAACTTGCTACTCTTGGGCCCCGCTGCACCGTACTCTGCCTTTCACTTGTTTGGCGGCGACAACCACGGCCTCTTCGTCGTCGGCAGTGACGGCAGCGCCCACTCGTACTACTTGCGCACGCAACGGCAATCCCAGCTTATACCTGCCTTTGCGACGCCTGGGACAAAGGTCGTCAAGCTCCAGAACGGCGCCTTCATGGTCCGCATTGAGCCGCTGGACAACGAAAACGATGGCGAGCACCCGCGTCGCCTTTGCCTCCACGCGCTCGAGATTCAGAGCCATGAGATGCTGCCCTTGGTCGCAGAGGTCACGTTATCTAAGGCGCTCAATTGGCCGGCCGTTCAAGCCCACGCGTACGACGACGCCATCGTGCTTCTCGACCAGAGCTCGGGCGATATGGTCATTCTCGCGATGACGATTGTGACCGGCAAGGTCGGGATCGACGTGAGCTGCGCACACACTGCGGCGCCTGTGACAGCCAGCGAAAGCCACGTGCTTGCACCGCTCTTCCACGTCTTTGAGAAGTTTCCCGTCCGGGCGTTCATGACGCGCAGCAATGACGACGATGACGACGATGACAACGATGACGACGATGACGACGATGACGATGACGCCGCAAAGAAGAAGCCGGGCATGAACGCTGACCTCTTGCCAATGGCACTGCAGCTGCATGTACAAGCGTCGACGCCCAAGCGACGCAAAGCTGCCGCCAGTGTCCTCAAGGCGATCATGAAGAAGCTCAAAAAGCTCAACAAGCGCCTCGCGTCGCTCTCGCTGGCCAATGACGCGGTCGTCAACGGAGACTTGGAGTGGCCCACGATGGCGCTTGGGCGTTGGGTCCTCGAGTTGATTGGGTTTGTGCCCGTGCCCATCTGCCGCGCCCGCGACAACGAGCTCGAGCTCCTGCGCAACGGCAACGCGGTCACGCTGAGTCAGTGCACCGAGGTCCATCAAATGGTTCCGAAAATCGTCTTCGGGCCCACAAGCTACATTCTCAAGGCGTGGCGCGGCCCGATTGTCGCCATCACGTCCATGGGGAAGCAGTCCACGGGCAAGTCGTACTTTCTCAACCACCTCACCGGCAGCTCGTTTGCGATCTCGGGTGCCCGCTGCACGGACGGCGTCTGGCTCACGCTGCGCCCGTACGGTGATACGCTGGTGGTCGTCCTCGACTTTGAAGGCCTCGGGTCGTTTGAGCGCAGCATGCAAGAAGACACGCTTCTCTCGGTCCTCAACGCGGCGATTTCGCAGCTCACAATCTTCCGCATCGAGATGCGCTTCGACAAGGACATTGACGCGATGTTTGCCAAGTTTCAGCAAGGCGTCACGATGCTCAAGGGCGACGAGCGACTCTTTAGCGGTCGGCTCTACATGAACGCCAAGGACGTCAACCCCAACGACACCGATACGCTCGTCGGCGAGTTCAAATCCAAGTTGAAGAGCCTTCTCAAAAACGCCACGGCAGAGAACTTTCTCACCGTCATGTACAGCGGCCGCGTGCTCGTCACGGCCTGCGCACCGCTCAACAACGTCGGCTACTACCACGGTCTAGCCCAAGCGTTGACGTGTTTGGCCGAGGCGCGGGACCGAAAGACGTTCTCCAGCGGCGCCGACTTTCACGAGTGCCTGGCCTTTGCGCTCGCCAAGATCGCTCGACGCGATTGGACGCCGATGGGCGACAACATCCAGGCGGGCAAGATGGCGTGGCTGCGCGGGCAGCTTCGCTACGCGCTGCGCAACGGCGAGCTCGACGCGGCCAGTACAGCGACATCGACCGACATTTGGGCCGACGACGATGATGCGATGGTGGCGCAGCGCCAAGCGATGGGTCTGGTCGACATGGTTGTGCCCCGGGATGCCGAGATCGACTTTGGTCTCGAGTTGGGTGGCCCAAGAGACACGGAGACAAACCTCTCGGTGGCCAAGGCGACTCTTCTCCACTACTTGGGGCGGTACGTGCAGCACGCCGCTGCGTCAAGTCACAACGATGCTCACGCTGATGCGCCACGTTTCGTCACGGTGCCACGCCGCGGCGACCACGAAACGCGCTTTGACGTGCTCTGGAAGTACGTTCTGTGGCGCCGCGAGCACCGCGTCCGCGCTTGGTTCGAGTCGCTCGGGGGTGCGCGCGACCAAATGCTTCAAGACGACTTTAACAAATGTATGCAAGACACCAAGCAGCTTCTCCGCCGGTGCGAGCACACGTGCAGCAAGTGCAAGCTTGGGTGCTTTCAGTCGTTCTTGCATGACAACAGCGTCGTGCCCCACGACTGCGGCGGAAGCCACCGCTGCGAAGGACGCTGCGCTCACTGTGACGACGACGAGCCATGTGGCGATGTGGCTGGCCACGCTGGTGCGTGCAACTGCCGTCAGAAGAGCCACACGTGCCCGCAAGCATGCCATCTCGCTGGCGCCCGCAACTGCGACGACATCTGCCACCTCGACGTCGACCACGTGGGACCGCACGTCTGCGGCGTCGCGCAGCACCTCTGCCCCAAGGCATGCGAGGCAGAGAGCTGCCGCAACGAGTGCAGCCACCTCCTTGGTCTCACCCACGATACGCACGCGTGTGGTTCGCGTCGGTGCCAGCAGCGCTGCAGCTACGACGGCTGCACTGGCACATGCGCCTCGGACGACCACTTTCACGCCGTCGACGCACTGCACTCGTGCGGCGGCGACCACACGTGTCAAGCCAAGTGCACGGCTGGCGGTATTTGTGAGAAAAAGGTCAAGCAAGAGACGCTCTCGACCGAACTTGTGCACCAAGCGATGGACGGGCTCCGAAAGAAGTGCAGTGTTCCGTTCAGAGAGGGCTGCATTGACCACGAGGGCAAGGACCATCTTTGCGACGCCAAAGTGCACACGTGCGACGTGCGCTGTCCGTGCTGCAACTACTACTGCACCAAAGTGTACGGACACAAGGGTATGCATGCGGCGACGCACGGGGGCATGGTCAACACGACTTTTGTCATGCACGACGACCAGGAGGCAAAGCTCGATGGTGACTGCAAGTATGTGGCTGGCGACGCCGGCAGTGCCGAGATGTGTCCGTTTTTCTGCACCAAGCTCGGTCGGGGCCACGTCCATTACGTTCTATGTACCCACTCGTCGGCCGACGCCTGCACGTACGCTGCCAAGGACGGCCGCCGACACAGTACGATGAAGCTTGCGTCCAACCCGACGCAGCCCATGGACGAAGTGCTCCACGACACGTACTGGAAGACACTGGGATGGGAAGACCCTGTCGCGAAGTGCGATGCACACGAGGCGTTTGGTCTGTGCCCGTTCGAGTGCGAGGCGCCCGAACACAAGGAAGACGGCGGCACCAAGTCGCACTGCGTCCTCGGCGCGTGGCACGAGCCAGTGGTCGACACCAAGACTTTGTCGTCAGGTCAGTTCCTCGTGCAAGGCCATGCCTTCACATGCCGACACATTGCCGCAAAGGGTCTCCAGCACCACGTCTTCGTCCTGGACACGTCCTGGTCCATGGAAGGAGAGCCGTGGAATGCACTCACGGCGGCCTTCCATGCGTACATCGAGAAGATCCTGTCGACGCGGAGCCGAAACTGCGACGACATTGTCTCGGTCGTCACATTCGGTAGTTCTGGCTGCATCGTGCACGAAGCCCAGCCACTGCTCAAGATGGCCAACATTTCGCTGCCGTTCTCTGGAGGCTTGACCAACTACGACGATGGCCTGCGTTGCGCCAACGCGGTGCTTTCGCGCAACAAGCACAAGACGTACGCGCCCGTCATTCTCTTCCTCTCCGACGGTGAGCCGACTTGCAGTGGGAAAGGTGTCAAGTTTGCGCAGAGTATCGCCAAGACGTACAGCATCTACAATCTCCAGAGCTCGTGCGTCGGCTTTGGCGACAGTAGTTTTGCGCATTTGAAGAACCTCGCGACGCACCTAGGCGGCAAGTTTCTCAAAGCGGCAACGGGCGCCGAATTGCTCACGACGTTCGAGGAGATCTCAGTCCCTGACAGCATTGCCGTTGGGCTTTTGGCCGAGACGGCGCCACCTACCAAGGCGGCGTAGACAACAAGCGGAATAACGTGTTTGCATCTTTAATATGACTCGAGTCTGTCAATGACCTAAGCGGTATACGGTGTGCATGGCAAGGAGTGACCATGTCCTGTACCGCGTTGGTTTAGCCGGCCTTTGTTGTCGAATGAATTCCCGCTAGTAGGTTGACAGCCTTGGCGGTACCCTTTGCAAGCGTGTAGGTCCCTCACACACATTTTATATCCCTTGGTCACACAGCACCTGGAGGAGCGTCCGGCGAATGCACGCTAAGCTATATCTCTGAAATAGGACTTGACCACAGCAAGTACATTTTCATTTGAATAGATTGTTTTAGGACATGGCGCAGCCTGCGTTTTGTGCGAGAAGGTCGCGCTTGGGCCACGGGTCGCGGCCAAAGAGGTAAAGTTGGCACCGCCGTTTGTGGG